ATTATAAAACTATACACAGGGAATTGCAATCACTATTGCTTGTATACAGATAAAAGTAACAACAATATATTGTGACATTGTAGTAGAATATGTTGATATGTATAATAGAAATACTACTTTGAACTTTCTCTCTATTTAAGTCAATATTTAATGATAACAATTTTTAAAGAAATCATTTTTATTTTTGTGCCAATCAATGCGTCCTTTAATTATTTCAGATTAAACTTAGAAACCCACACAAGGTCTGTTTGTATATACATATCAATAGTATTTTAAATATATAAGATTCAGGAATTGACAGAATTCCAAAGAAATTTAATGATTTTCCATTCCAATCTGAATTTTGTAAAAAGATGAAAGGCTTTTGAATAGAGACAGAAATCAAAAATCAACTCAAAAGAAATTCAAAGCTAAATTACATTTCAATGAGAGACAAATAAAACTAATTAAACGACAATATCCAACCAGCGAAGGTTTTCCGATATGCGATTTTCGGGCTTAAGTTCGATTTAGCATTTGCCAGCAATTGTAAACTGCATCTATGACGCACCATCGAAAGTGAGCGGTTGCAAAGGCCCTACAAAAATAGTCCGCGCCTATCGGAGTGGAGTGGATTGGAGTGGAGCACTACGTCAAGTGCAAATCTATTGAAACATGCGTTGCCAAGAAGCAGCAGCAAACCAAGAAAACCACCGCAGCCGCCAACAATAATTGCCGCAACAAATCTAAACAACAACAGAGCGAGCTATGTTTATGTTAGAGTGAGGCCATTGGGAGTCGACTAGAGATACCCTGTAGACTGAGTCACGTAGTTTCAATCTCATTTTCAGTTTACAAATTAGTGTTTAATCGTACAACTTAAGCAACTTAAATGTGAATGTGATCAACTAGAAGATACCCTATACAGAATATGCTATATTACAAGTAAACAGAGAAATATATATATTTTCTAATAATGAATAAAACAATTTGTAGTCGATAGATAGTTTATAGATGGTTATAGTTAGAAAGAGTTTATGTTATATATATTTTATAGAGGTATATTGAGAATTGCATATGGCCCGTCGAACAGAAGATACCTCTTTACGAGCACATTAGGGAGTATATTATTCTCTAGTTATTTATCAGAGCAGTTCAGCATACCCCATCTGTCTAGCACTTTGAGTGAGCTGCTGAAATCAACTTAATCCAAATACTAAAACGCATTAACATGTTATGGAATATTAGAAAGAATCCAGAATTTCGCAAAGAAACGCCCAAACCGAACAAAAATAAACAAGTGCAGGGTGCGAGGGGGCCAAGTGGATACTCAACAATCGCCGCTGGGGCCAAAGGTGGAAACACGACCACTAATGTGGGCGCGCGGCCTCATTAAGTGGGGCGGGACGGGGCGGTGTTTCGGGGCGGGTATCATAAACTAATCAGCCGCAACATAAACAAATACTTTTATTTTATTTATTTGGTTTTTGCGCTGCTGGAAAATCATTGTGAGAAAATTGAAAATCGAAGTGTTTCCACTCTCTGTTTCCACTCAGAATGCGACCTTGTTGAATTCCAATTTCGAAATGCGTTGCGTGCTTCCCTCACCCGAAAGGCGCTCGGCTAATTTGGCTAATTGGTTCTGGCCAAAATAAAAATGTAGTCATTGATGCAAATCGGAAGCCGTAAAATAAACATATGTACATATATACAAAATTTCTAATATTCGCAGCAATTGGGTTTTTTGTTTTTAAATATTTTTTTTTCCTTTCTTTTTTTCGCTTTTTCTGTGCTTCTTCCTCTTTCTTTTTTGCAATATTTTCACACATCAACAGCTGCCAAGCGAGAGAAGAATTTTTCTCATTTTCTATTCTCCGCGCATTTTTATGCTACCATAAAAACAAAAACAGAAACGAAACCAAACCAAAAGAAGGCGCAACATTTTCGCTCAGAATTTTTATGGCATGCTGAGCGGGTGGAAGGAGGCGTGGAGTGGGCGGAGGGGATGCCAAAGTTAGGGAACATTCACTGTCTATTGGTAGGAGCCGGGTTGCCTTTACCAGCTGCCCGCTGAAGTGGTTCACAATTTACGAGCCGCGCCCCCCGCTCTCGACGGCTTCCATTCGGCAAGCCAACATTTTATTGAATTTTATTTCATTCGCCAAAAGTGAAGTGCCGAAAGTCGCCTTTGTTGTTGTTGTTGTTGTTGTCGTTTCAGTTGTTGTTGTTGTTGTTGTTGCTGTAGCAGTAGCCGTTTTGCAATTTATTGCTTGCAGTTACGAAATTTATTTCTGTGTTTTTGCTGTAAATTTACAATTTTGTTTTGCGGGATTCTTCACTCGAGCCAGCAGGTAGTCAAGCCGTTCACTCATTCTTTCACTCTCCCTCTCGCTGTCGCTATCGCTCTCTTATTCTCTCTCTCTCTCTCTCTCTCTCTCTCGCTCTCACGCTGTCAACACCTTGCATGCAGCATAGAAGAAGCGTTTCTTTTGCTGCCTTCAACTCTCTTTCTAGCTCTCTTTGCTCTCTCCCATTCTCCACCTATTTGACTTCGCTTTTGTTGGCTCTGCCTGTGTGCGTGTGCCTGTGTGTGTGTGTATGTGTGTAATTCGCTTTGACTTCAATTGTTCAGCAATTGTTTTTATAGCGCCAGCAAGCGGAGGAGATGAAGCGAAAGAGGAAATGCCAGAAGTAAAGTTATGTAAATTACATGCGTGCGAGCGAAAGAGAAGGAGGATGGATGGTCGGAAATAATAAAATTGATCTAGGACTTCGCACTCATATTTGCGGCTGGCTACAAACGTTTCGTTCTGTTCTTATCGTATAGAACCAAATCAACTATTTATTAGAGAATGTTAATTAGGAAAATGTGCATTCTCTAATAATTGCATTAATCACTTTCTTATCTTGTTTCATTGCAATTCCAATAAAAATAATATAAATGTAGCCATGCATCTGGAAGTTTGTCAGATGGGAAAAGTAGTTGCTTGGATTTTGTGGAAGGGATTAGATTAAATTTGCCAGGCAACAAACGACGGAAAATCGTTGTGAAAAGCGGCAAAAGCAAAAGGACGGAGAGGCAGGACGCAGACCTGAAGGCGTACATACTGCGAAACGCAAGCAAAGGACAACAGGCAGAAAGGACAAAGAGGACACAGCAGGCTGAGAGGACTGAGAGGCTGCGACTCGCAATTGTAACCAAACTCCACTCGAAACCCTAACTCGAGAGTTTTTCGAGGTTTTTCCCTCTTCTAACAGACGCCGCAGCCGCAGGCGTCGCATTTGGAATTCTTAAACATGGAAATGGAAATGGAAAAGGGAWGGGGAATGGGAGTGGGAATTGAAATTGTGATTGGATGGAAACAGCGGAATGGAACGGCGACCTGCTGCATCGTTTGCTAGCTCTTTTTATTATTATGATTTTAATGCTGCTTTTGTCTATTATTAACAATCCGCTCAGCTGGAAAAATCGGAAAAGTCGTGTTCCCGATCCAACCTCGAATATCGAATTCACTTTTCGGGCTCAACGTGGCTTTTCCCTAATTTGTTTAATTTATGCAAAATGTGTTGGCAGCGATAAGCGCCGTTAATTTTTCGGTTAAAGTTGTCCCCAGTTTTTCGTCCTGGCACACTTTGCGCAAATGAAAATGATAATGAAAATCAAAACCAAAATCTGCTCCGGCATTTTCATTTCTCGGCTGGCTGCCTTTCAAAGCTTCCCCTGGGCGCACGGCTTAACGGACTTAGCTCTGAGCTGGCTTAGTTCAAATAATTATTGAATTTCCATCGAGGCAGTGCAATGAACAATAAGTTTCCCACTAATGAGCCAAACAGTTTTCCCCGGAATTAGCTCCAACTGAATTGCTGGATCAGGAGCTAAGCCAACGACTTTCCTCTACCGATTTTTAATTTCACTAATGCCTCAGCTAATGACACCTAATGCATGTCTTATACACTCCATAAACTTAACTGAATTCAATTACCAAGAACTACGATATTATTTTGAATGCAAAGTATTAGAGATTTTACCATTTATAGTTCAACATTACATTTATTTTAAAAGGCCTATTTAAATGGAAACTTTAAAGGCGTAAAAGTTGTGTGAATGAATATAAATACCTTAAACTTTATCGAAAACTGTCAAATTTCAAAAGTTTTAAATCATTCATTAACATGAATGTACCTTCAAGTTTCATTTGGTTGTTTATAGTATTCAAGTAGAAAAGTTTTATTTCCATATTCTTAAGTCACTCCTTAACAAGTCTAAAACTCAAATAATATTACGGAATAAACATCTTTAAAATGTATTTTTTTATTTTAATATTTTGAAATCATTCATTCACAAAGTGAAGGCCTCATAAGTGTTACTTTGTCTCACATTCTTTAAAACGAGAATTTTCCATAGATTAAATTTCAATTTTGACATTGGGAAATCGTATATATTGATCAATCAAACTTTCACTCAGTAAATATATTTAAATATTAGATAAGTACCGAGGGGAACAAACCTAGTAGTAAGACTTATTTTACATGATTTATAATATTGCAATATATATATAATATTAAATATAACATTACAATATTATCAACAAATAGTAACAAATAGTACAAATAAAATTTAGAAGCATTTCAATTTACAAATTTTCCTAAATAGACGTCAAATTCTTAAAATTCTCTCGAGTCTATATGAATTAAATTGATGGTATAATATTACATATGTAAAATTGAGATGGATGTAACTCTTATCCACTACATTAAGAAATGACGTTCACAGCTGTACTTATAAAATAGAGGTAAACATCACCTATATTTAATTTAACAGTAAATATATTTCTGATGTTATTCAAGAATATTTACATATGATTTGATATAATATTATTTATTTTCCTTGACATCTACCGAATTTTCGTGCTAGTCTCTTTATCGAAAACGAATTCTGACACAACGCCTATACCTACAGCCACAGCTATGTGTTAAGGTTGTTGCTGTTCGCTGCTTCAGGTGCAGGTAGAGTTACTCACCTTGTCTGCCGTGTGTGCGCTGCGCCGTCGAGTTGGCTGTGGTATCCGGTGGACGATGCGGCAAGTGTTGATACTCGTAGTCGTAGTGCGAGGACTGCTGAGCGGCTGCAGCGGCGGCGGCGGCTGCGGCCGCGGCTTGTAAATTCTGTTGGTTTTGCTGCTGGTGCTGGAGCGTTTGGCTGTGCACAGCGGTGGAGCCGCCAGGACCAGCGGTGGGGGCGTGGCGTCCGGTCATGGGCAGGGTGCCGGGGCAGGGCCCGCCGCCCGTGTCGCGGCAGTCGAGCGTCGACTCAAACTCGTAGGGATTCATAGTGGTCGACTCCAAAGGACATTCGTCGTCGTCGGTGTCGGTGCCACCGTCGTAGAGGCTGTCCGTTTGCCGGTATGCGTGGAGCTGGCTCTGCTTTGAGAACTTAATTTTGGCGGCTTTTGGTGGGGCCTGGAAAGCCGACACTCACACAGACAGAGATAGAGATGAAATAGAGACGAGGCGAGAGGCGAGAAGAGGACCGGAAAGAGGAGCGAAAAGAGGGAGCAGAAGACAGTCAGCTCCTCTGCGGAGGAGCACTTGTCGTGGCGTGGTTCAATGGCAACTCCTCACTTCAGCACTTGGGCACTTCAGCACTTTTGCACTGCACTTGCGATTGGAACTGGAGCTGGAACTGGGCGAAGCGCCAACATTTTATTAGAATTTCTTGCTCTATTTCTTGGATTTGAATATTTTTGATTTCTTTGTTATGCTCTTGCTATTTGTCAGCACATTTTCGATGTCTGATACACTTTCGGCATTTGTCTTATGCCTGCTTCTTCTTCCTTCTTCTGGATAAACAATGCAACAACAATTTCACAATATTTCAAATTGAATTCGGTTTGCCAAATTTCTTGCTGCACGATTTCAATTGAGAGACACACGCGATGGACGCGACAACACAAAATTGACAGGACACAAGAACATACACAGGTGCGAGGCGAGGCAAGCGGTAAATTCTCCTTTTTTTTCGTGTGTAATTTTTTGTTTGCGTTTTGCTTCAACTTCAACTTGAACGTCGCGTTCGAGCTCGAGTTCGACGGTCGTTGGTTGTTTGTTGCGCGACGGCCGCGTTGCGTGCGGGTCGGCTTGGATGCGAAGTGAATTCAGCGAGCGACGATTTCAAACTGACGTGCTCGCACGAAATAGTTCTGTATGCTGGCAAATACGCTAACGAATGAAAGAGAGGACGAGCGCGCGAGCACGAGTGCAAGAGAGCGAGCACGACTGCTGTTGTTGTTGTAGAAGCAGTCTTCGTTCAGTTTTTTTCAGCCGCTCAGAGAGTGTAGAGAGCGTAGGGAGAGCAGCACAGAGCGCGCAAGTGTCGTGGGAGGGCTCTGATGCTGCGTTCATTGTTGTTGCTTTACTCGTTTGACTAGTCTTCGCCATCGTTCAGCGAACGCTCTGCGCATGACGACGCTGCCGACAGCGCGGCTGGCAGCGCTGCCGACGACCCCAATCTGCAAAGCGCTTAACGAAACGCTGCTGATTAGTTTTGAAGGTTAAAAAAGTGCGTTGAAGTTTTTCCTATTTGGCAAAGCTTGCAGCGCTCCAATGAGGGGAAGTGTTTACAGCAATGCGATTAGGGGTTGTTGCTGTCCTCGCTGCGCATCTAACAGTTTCGTTCAAATTTATCTGCTGTTAACGTCGCACCTAACAGTGACAGGACACAGCGCTAAGATAACAGACTTTGCGACGCCTCGCTTGCGGCCATTTACATTAACACTGTTATTCGCTGTAATTATGTTATCCTTAACATTTCTTAGTTTCAAATATTTTCTGTTGCTTATGTGTTAGAAAATGATGATAGAATTTATGTTAATATTGAAAGTGACACCGAAATTCATATTTGTATTAATTTAAATATACTTCAAAACAAATTGACAGTCAGCTGATAGAAATAAATACGAAAAATATAAGAAAAATGCTTAACCCAAGTAAAACGCCCGATCAACTTCAGAGTGAATCAATTATGGAAAGGGACGAACTTATATCCAAGGCTTGGCAGTTCCTGTGAATTGCTTTAGGCTTATACAGACAGTCGTCATTGCCAAAACCAACGTAACCCAGCGACTGTATACATAGATAAGCGCATAAAGATAAAAATAGAAATGGAAATAACAAAACTAAAAACGAAACAAAAAATTCTTCAACTTCATTAACGCTGCAGCAAAGTTCTGGACCAGAATGCAGCGAAAAACTTTGCTTAGCTGCCGAAAAATGGACAACGCAGATTTATAAGAGTGAAAGAGTCAAAGACAATATGTGTGTGTGAGAGAGAGAGAGTGAGAAAGAGATAGGTAGAGGGGACAAAAGTTGGAAATGCTGACAGTGAAGTTGTCATTTATCATCAAGGGCCGGGGCGGGCACAGTGTGTCCAAAACTCTGGCTAACGAAGCAACAGACAATGTGGAAAAAAGAAATAGAAAATAGAAAATAGAAAATAAAGGCGAAAGAAGCAGAAAATTGCGTTATAAGCTAAGTAAAGGACATTCCGCTAATGGCTTTACTTTTGAGCAGGTTTTTGGTGGCCAATTCTCATCCGCAGCCACACGCTCGTGTAACGGAAGTTGTTGCTGAAGCTTTTTTGACAGCTTTGACGCTAGACCAAAAATACGAAGAAGATGAAGACGACGATGAACCAGAAGAAGAAGAAGCGGCCGTAGCACGTTCTTTTCACGGAATGTGGCAACGCCGCATGACGCGCGATGAGCCTGAAAATGAAATTATTTGCATAGGATTTCGCAAGTGCTTCTTCTCCTTCTTCTTCTGCGACTACGTTTTTATTTTCTTCAGACTGCTGCGCCGTATTCTTCTTCTTCTTGCTCTGCCTCTTGCTCTTGCTCCCGCTCAGTCCTGTCGATGAAAAGTCAATTTCCTGTTGTGCACAAAATGTCATATATTTAGAGGACAACGACTACCAGAAAGGGAACTTAAGACGCCAGCCACGCCAGCATCGAGCGCTTCACTTGCAGCTGACACATTGCAAATTTTGTATTCCTTCTTTTTTTGCCATTAAAAAAACAAGTAAGAAAGCTCCAGTCGAGACTGCTCGACTAGGAGATACCCTGAACCCTCCAAGCTTATATTCTAATCATTCTGCACTTCTTTTATGCACACATACATACACATGCATCCACACGCACGCATAAGCCTGCGCTCTGCTAACTGCGCAGTAAGCAGCGACTGCGCTTGGGCTGCGCTGCAGTGTGGGCAATATTATGAGAATTTATTTGTTAAATAATTTCTTTTGTAGACATACGATCTTAATGAAACTTTTAGAGCGTAATCATATGGTGAATATGTGTGTATATTCCAAAGCCCAAGTCTCTAGTATTTGAAATACGCTTTTTACAAAAGTGAGGGTGAGGGGGTNTAATTTTATAACTGGTTTTCGATAAGGTTTTTTATCGATAAAAAAAGATCGGGATGAGTTATCGATTTTTAATGATAAACTTGATATGCGCGCTGTAATTACGGACATTTTAAAAAAAATTTGAAGTCTCTAGCTCTTATATCTTCTGAAATCGACGCGTTCATACATACGGACAGACGGACAGACGGACAGACGGACGGACGGACAGACGGACAGACAGACGGACAGGGCCAAATCAACTCAGCTTGTCGCCCTGATCAGGAATATATATACTTTGTGGGGTCTCCCACCCCTCCTTCTGCCTGTTACATACATTTCAACAAAACCATTATACCCTGATTTCCCATTTTCAATGGGTTCAGGGTATAAAAAAAAACATTTAAGGATGAGGCATAAAGGAATTAAAAAGAAAAGAGTCGACCACAGCAAAGAATGTAATGTTAACTGAAACTACATTCAATAAGAAAGAAGAAATCACAAGCAACATTATATTTTAGTAAAAATTTAGTATTTCATGTTTTTATTTTTTACTGTTTAGAGTAATGAGAATCTATTAATTTTCCACAATCGAATGAAATATTTGACCGATTTTTGTAGTTGTCTTGTTTCATATTGGCCAAATTGTTTTCTGCTGACGGGCAGAGACTTGATATATGAGGGGCCTATTAAAATATATTTATAATGCATATTACCAAAGAGTGAAATATATTTGTTGAATAAGAAATTTTTATTTAATAACTGTGGCAGTAGTTCAAGGCAGATCTCACTTGGTGGATTTACGGGTATGGATAAGGGCATTACTTGGCTTAAAATTTTTGGCTTAAAAAAGTTGTAGACATAAAATAAAAAGATTTTATTCGTTCCTAAACATTCCTAAATTATATTATTATATTATTATATTAAAACCATTCCATTAAAAGGGATTCCTCGTTACTCGAGCGATTGGTTCCTATTAAATTAATGTTTTTTCGTTACAATTTTATCTTTGTCTTAAGGCCGAGATAGCGTCGACGGCCTTCAAAAAGATTCCACGTCCCGGACTTGCCAAGTAGAGACTGGTATAAATTAAACACTTATATATACACTGGAACTGAGACCAACCCGCTACCTAAAACTAATATAAATGTGAAGTAGTATTTGTACAGGGCTTGTCATATTTATAGCCCACCTAGTGGCTTAAACTATAAACCAATTTTTACGTTATCGTTAATCTTATGTGAAAAATTTGTTTGTCAATCAGAACTCAAAAATTGAGCTAATCATTTTTCAAGATTTTGAGGATATATGTCATTTGGGAAAAATGTTCAGTCGATTCGTGGCATATAAATATGATAAGCACTGTATAATATGATTTGCATAGAGTTCCAGTTATTGCATTTCACATTTTACTCTTTGTTTTAATTCACTTTTTTGTTTTAATTCAAAGTATTTGTTAATTATATATATTTTTAATGGGGCTTTATATAACTTTTTTGCTCATCTTATTTTTGTTATTTTATAGTCGTATGCATAATTTTCAGAAAATTTTTTCAATATAATATATATTACCCTTTTTCAGTCCAGTCACGTTGTATCTGTTTTTTATTTATTTTTTTTCTTAGTACTGTTTCAGTTGCAGCATAAAAAGCTATTTTCGAAATTAACTTCCCGTTTAGTCAGAGCTCAAATTTCTATTGAAAAAAGACTTCCTCTTCTGCGTCCACCTTGCACATTTGTTGCATTTCGCTTAATTTTGCAATTGCTCTATGTCGCTCTCTCTCTCTTTCTCTTTCTCTCTCTCAAACATTTTGGTGTCCTGTTGAAGCACCAAATACAGGAGCATTGCACTTAAGGCTTCAGCCATGAAATTGGATCAGCTCGTCAAATCAGGAGAAGGAGAGAGAGAGGGAGATAGAGCAGCAACTTTGCACCAACAACAAGTGTTCCAAGTAACAGTTGTTCTTGTTGACCCGAACTGCTCAGCGCCGTGGCGACTCAGACCGGGGGCAGGAGGAGCCGCCGCAACAGCCAAACGTTGCGGTATTTCCTGCGTCAATTTCCACAAAATAAGCAACACAAACAACAAACAACAAACAACGAACAACACACAACGAACAACGAACAGCAACAGCAACCACAACAACAACATTGTTGGAAAATGGCTGAGAGGCAGTGTCATCCGGCGGAATGCAGGTCACTTTGGGCGCCTTTCCCGGAGGCCTCGCCTCTGGCGCAGGACTCGCAGTTGTTGTTGCTGCCACATGTGGCACACACACACATGCATGCATGCATGCATGTAGGTGTGTATGTGTGGACGTGTGCGTGTATCGATCAAAGAATACGCAAAAATTGTTCGCATGGCATTTAAAATGGAGAGAAAAGGTCCAACAGGACACGCACAAAAGGACAGAGCCGACGGAAGATGGCTAGAGCTGACAATGAGTGGCAGGCACTTTGTGCGACTGACCTCCTCCTGCTGGGGGCGTGACACCCCCTTTTGCGGAGCCCTGCGCTCAGTGAGAGAAATAAAATTACGCGAGATATTGAATTACGCTTTTTAAATTAAAAAATATTTTCGCGATTGCATTAAACGAAAGGCAAACTAATTAAAGGGGATTTCTCCATCCATCCATCCATCCATCCATCCGTCCAGTCAGTCAGCCAGCCAGCCGGCGAGGCGTCCATTGTCGCCGAATGCAATTTGTGAGCTGCAAATGAAGTTGAACTCCAAGGACCAAAGTGGGCGCAGGACAACGCAGATGCAAAGTGCAGCGAGGATACAGATTTAAATGCATTCCAGTCCTGGGCCATTAACCTGCGTCTCTTTGATATTCTCTTCATCTCTCTCTCTCTCTCTCTATGTCTCT